AGTATTTATATCATATTTCGGTCACAGTTTAAAATGGTTTTAAGTAAAAAAAAAAGATGTTGAAATGTTATTTTTAGCATTTTATATGCAGCTAATGCCGAGTTCAGACTGCACGATTTTCAAAATAATCGGGTCACTGTTGTTTTCACACTGCATGACTATCTGGGGTAACATTCAGTTGCTGCTGTGTTCACACTGCACGATGGATCGGCGACAGGAGGTTTCACACTGCATGACTTTACAAAAGAAAGAATCGCCGACAACTTCTGCCTGGTCAACAAACTACGTTTCACAAACAAACAAACGCGAGAAGTGATAGGAAATAACGGAAGATCACACGTGCGTGAGACCGGAGTTCTCGCGCGACACTGAATTTGTTATTAAAAATGATAGCCTACAAATTGTCTGTGCACTGATTTGTAGCGAAAATGAAAAAGAAAAAAAAAACAGTTTATGCAGGAAATGGTTGGGAAGAAGAGGGGAGCAAGGATTGTGTTTTGCAAAGAGAGTTGGGGGTAAATAAATAATTTTGCAAATGTCCTGCTGTTGCTGCTGGTCATGCAAATGTTTGTGCTTTGTTTCTTTTTGATATAATTGTAAATATAGGCCTATCTATTAAAATACTGATATTCTGGTCTATAACTCCTCCTCCTCCCTGTATCTTGCTCTCTCATTGGCTGTCGGTCATCGCCGATGTAGTTTTCAGTCAGAACACATTCACACAGCAGGATTGTGAATCGCCGACAGGTCCAGATATTTAGCATGCCAAATATCTCACGGGCGTCGGCGACTCGTCGGCGATTCTCTCAGATCGCGTCTTTGCTCATTCACACTGCGTGATTGTCACTCGCGTGAACGAGCACCGATTTGCCTGTGATTTCGGGCATTTGTCGTCGATTTCTCAAAACCTGTCGGCGAGCCAAAATCGGGGCTAAAATCGTGCAGTCTAAACTCGGCATTACCGAGCATGTATACTGTAAACATTCTTTATTCATATGAAAATACCCCAAATCACACACAAACCACATATTCTCGAAATCGTGCATTTATTAGCTTCTTGTTTCAGGTGAAGAGATGTGTCTAGCTTTGTTATCATGGAGGTCAGAATGAGGAAGTATACACAGGACCGCGTCATGCAGAAGGGCAGGATTATGGTCACGTTGAACCACGTGAGATGATTGACAGCTGTACAGCGAATGAGTTAGCGCGGAGATCATAAACTGACGCAACTCAGGAAGAGGAGAGACAGAGCTCGCTGTTTGAGCTCTTCAGATCGCATAATTCAGTGGAAAATGAATAGAAATGTTATTCTGTACGACTAAATATTTTACAAACATGTGATAAATCATTTCACCAAATATGCGCACCATTGGACTAAGGCGCACCATTGGTTTTATTGTCTATAAAACTGAAAAAAAGAAATAGGATTTTAGGGTAAGAGTAGCCTCCAAGGTTTGACATCACACACTCATACTGCCAAGGAAATTGTAACCATTATCATTCACACACATAAAGTAACTTCCATACATCAGAGTAAAAAGAAAATGTGTACAGCATAATATACTGTAATATAAACACACAAACAAAAAAACAATGAAAATTATATGCAGCCTACAGTGCTGTAAATAAAGCTGGAGTTTCACAACTAACAGTTCTTCACTGGTCGCGGTCCTCACCCTCTCTCTCCTGGGCACCGTACTCTATCGTCCATGGTGTCTTCATGCTCCTCGGCCTCTTCCCCCTATTCCACCACCACGCACCTTTACTCCTCCTCCTCCTCCTCTTCTTCTTCCTCCTCCTCTTCCTCGAGCAGGCAGTTGCCCTTGTTCATTTAATTGGCCAGGTGCCTCCATGTTCAGAAACTGTACTGGTCCTGCATGGTCAAGCTCTTTACATACATGTTTGGCAGCATTCACAGTCATGGACAGAACCTGTCAGGTAACTAAACATACTGTCTGATTGGTCATCTGAGATGTGTGAAACTCCTTTGTTAGTCAAGTTAGTTTCACCTGACTGTCAATTGCTGTAATAAATTTATCAAATGTTCCAAGGGATTCATATATGGTATTAATGGTATTATGTTCTTGACTAATTTTGACAATTGAACGGACTATTGTGGATGTGATGACTTATACAATGAAATGACGCTGACACGTTTTGGAGCGAACAACCATTAGACTGAGAATCAACAATCAGTTTAAATCAACAAGATCTATTCACTTAGAAATTGTGCTAAATGTAGGCTACCTGTACTTAATCATTTGCAAAGATGTACTGAGACATTGAGACATGTACTTAGACATTGAGACATGTACTGTTGTGAACAATTGCCAAGTGGTTTGGAGGTTTGTCCATGTTGTTTTGAGAATGTAATTTCTGTTTCAAGAAATGAGCCAAACCAATGGAGAAAAACTGTAAAATGTATACTCTAGCGTGTCTCCTAATCGACGTCATCTTCGTCGGACGACGTATCGTCCCCTGTATTACCGCATTTGGGATTAAGATCTCTTGTATTTACCCTGCAGCAGTAACCAGACAGACTCCAGACAACACCTTTAAATATATTTCAAGGACCTCAGGCCAATTTCAGAGAGAATCCCGCCAACATAAAGAGTACAACAGTTTTTATTGAATAAGAGCATGGCAAAGGTGACATGATACATTACATAAATTTTTTACAATATGATTGGTTCTTTAAATGTATAATTCAGCAAACCCTTCTGTTACTATTTAGAAGCATATCTGGATTTCTTGATTACTTCACTTTGTTACTCAGTCATGAGTTTATATATTTAGACATCTGTCTAGTTTCATTTCCCCTTTTTGTTATGTTCAGACACTTTGGCCCAGGTGTTGTTGACATTTAGTTTTTAAAAGCATATAAATGTTAATCCTGCAAGAAAAAGAAATGTTGGTTATGATTAATTTAAAAATTCCATCACATTAGCAACCATTATAGTCTGCGTTTTACAACTCTTTGAGCGAACGCAGACAGAATGACGAATCATTCATCACTATTACTTACACGCCGCAGCCTCTTCATGTGGTTTTGCTTCTCTGAGTTGGTCATCAAGTAATTTCATCTTCGCAGAGTTTAAAAGGTTTTGGAACAGTAAATTACTCTTTTCATCAATTCCACCAGAGAATAAACTGCACATTGCACCCAGTTTCAGAAAATTGTTTGGTGCGATGCGATTACAAATTTAGGGGAACCGCCCCTGATGCTTATGCTTATGCTATCGCTTGTTTCTTCTGCTTCTTCGCCTGTGTTTTGATCAGGAGATTATGTAGTCTTTCAGAATATGTGTAATAGCGCCCCCTACCGTATAACAGCAAAAACACAGAAAGCCGGAAATTTCCGTCAATGGCGAGGGAAGAGTTAATAAAAGCTTTATGGAATGCAATTAATTTTAAAATATGTTGTATGTTGGAGAAAATGACTATATGTAAAAAAGCTCTTTCTGATAGTGTTGTCTCTGAGGTACAAACATGACTCGCGGTAAATCAAGAAATCGAGAGATTCAAACAATAGGACTAACCGTGTTGAGCTTTATAAAAATTATTTATTTCTGTCGATAAATGCATCCAAACCGTTGCATCTGGTGACGTCACTGACAGGCGACTCAAGGACATGGTCCGGATCACTGGTTTAAATAGCTGATTTCTCTTTATTTAAACATTGTTGGAAACATTTTGAAAATGTAAGTACACACAAGTCAACAAAATATATAACATTGTTTTAGTGTTTTTTTGGATATTTAATTCAAAAACCGTACATATTGTGCATTTAATCGTCAAAATAATCTACCAATTGCTCGATTACCAAAATAATCGTTAGTGACAGCCCAGGTTACTTTGCTACAACGCATAGCAAAAAAATAATACATGATACATGATAACAAATAATTAATCTGCTGCTCTGCACATGACAGTCAAAATGACAGTTTTTTTTTATTATCTCAATGAAATGTATGCAGTATATTTTAGTTCGATTATGTTTTTTTTTTTATATTTAGTATTTTATGGGTACTAAATTATATTTACGCTGTAGTTATAATCCATTTAATCACTTTTTGAGCATAGACCTGAAAATTAAATTTCCAACTTAAACTGTCATAAATCTTGAATGCTTTAGAGCACGACAATTCATCTTTTCAAAGACGACAATTGGCAGATCATTGGTGAAGTGAAAAAAAGTTTAAAAAGTGAACTTTAAAAAAGTTACCGAATTTTACATTTATTGTCATGTAAATATTCTACATTTTTATGTGAAATATATATTTTCAAAAACACCTTTTACTTTAAATCTGCAAGAAAATCAAAGCAATTAATCTAAACAAGTTTAGTAAGAGCTTTCAGTAAGATTTTGTTTGGCCGCAGTACCAAACGTTTCCACTAGATGAAATTCGTCTCCCATTCATTTCCTATGCGGTCATTATTGACAGTACAAGTGTGACTATTTTTTATGGAAGATTTTTTTTGTTCACACAGCAAATGCCAAAACATTTCCAAGTTTCGTACCATTCCGATGAAGTAAAAAAAAAAAAAAAGCACTAAAAAAAGTAAAAAAAAATGGGCAAATAATGACCAAAGACAACCAGAGTGTTTTCGTGAGGAAAATAGTTGTTTACTGCTATCTCAGGTTAACTTTATTAGGTTAATCAGTGAGGATGTCTGATGTTCTGTGTTGTTTAAGTACATTAAGTATATTTCCAATTTTTATATGACTAAAAATGTCCCCTATTCTATTAAGTGGCTTTTTGACTGGGGTGAGACTGATGGACAGTGACGGATGATCATAGTGCTTGTTGTCATGTTGTTCTTCAGCATACTGTGTTTGCAATAAACAACTTGAACCGTTCGCGCCCATCGTTTTTAAAAGCATGCTCTTCGTCGTCTTTATCATATACCATAACCGCACTCAGCATCAACACAGCGTGATTCAAGGAACAGAGAGTTTTATTTCAATTGTCGACAGAAATGTAAAACACCACCAAACATTTACAGCATTACAGCGATAATATAAAGTTTATTCATGCACAAGCACTCTCTGTTCAGAGCCTTGATATGTTTAAACTCACACTGGTCCCACCACCATCATAGTGACATTCAATCAAAGCAGTTCCCATGGGAACATCAGACTGTTGTGTTTTTAGATTGACAGAAATCATGCCGCTGATCAGAAGTGATATTGTTAGGTAACGGTAGTCAGTTCATATATTGATTTGTAAATCACTGTTACAAATCTACAGTTTTACAGCAGGTCAGAAGAGTACACACTGTTGTTTCACCAACTAATACCAATACACACTCGTCTTAAAGCTCTTAATGATGCTTCTTCATTCAGACACTCAGCGAAATAACGAGTGGGATCCACAGAGTCACACTCCTTCACCAAAATAGTGTTCAACCTGTAACACACAAAAAAACAGTCACACTTTGATTGTTCAGGCCGGATTTGACTTCTTAAGCCTTTATATTTGAGGTAAATAATTATATATAAATATATGTGTGTGTGTTAGTTAGTTAGTTAGTTATTTTCTTCGGTCATTTTGAACAATTAAATCTTAGGTCATATGTAATTCAAAAATCCTGTACATTGAAAAAACATAAAACAATATAGCAAATAGAGAAGAATTTAAAAAAATATATATATATTAGAAAGATAAATACAAAATCAGTAAATGCACAAAATGTGTGTGTATACTATACAGTATATGTATATATAAACACACACTTATTTATATATATTTACAAATTTACGACAAATTTAAACAGCACTGGGTTTATAAAATTATAAATGATATATATATATATATATATATATATATATGCAGAAATATTCTCACACACTATTGTGGAAATAAGATACTTCTGCAGACTTCTTTTTGCATATTTAAAGGATCATAAATTTAATTATTTTCAACTTGGAAGAGTGATATCAGAGGCGTTTTGGGTTTAGGTTTACTGAAAAAATGTTATGAATGTAATAATACTTATATTGAATGTTTATATATCGTGGACATTTTCATAGAGGCCTTTTAGACTTAACTTTCCCTTCGCATGCGCTTTTGCCCAAATGCCATCCAGTAACTACACTGTCAAAAATGCATTTTATTTGTTGTTGTAAATAAAACAAAGATTATTGGAGTAGTTTTCAGTCTTTCTACTGCAAAATGTATTAGTTGCCATTTCTCTGTAATTATGTGTGAAATTTAGCAATTTCTGAGTGAAATCAGTTTCAAAGTAAATCCTACATAAAATGTTTTTCAGCGTATGAACTGACATCTAGATCATTCAATGCAGTGTCTATAGTGTGTGGGCTACTTACTTGCTGTCAATCATGGTCTTCAGGCAGGCGATGTCATCTGTGACGTCATCGTCAATCAAAGCTATTGGAGGAAACAGAAAAGAGTCAAAACCTTATTCAAACTGGCTCACTGTGAATGCTTAGAGAGCCATAGGAATCTGGCAGTTTAAGAGTCCAGAAATTCACAAATCATTGTTTAGGATAGTGTTATGATTGGTGTGGTATTTTCTCACCAGAGCAGCTCATTTCGCAGACATTGAGTGATGGCATCATGCCAGAATCACAGGCCTGCTGATCACTGAGCTGAAACACGCCGTACAGCTGCCGAGAGCGGATATTAATTAAGGGCTTGTTCTCTTTAGGCTTGGGGCCGATGGCTTTGACAAAGCTGGTGTTGAAGCCCGAGGCATTGGCCTTGCAGACAACTGTCACAGAACAAAGGAATAAAGGGTGTGAGGCTGATCAACCTTTTATCTGCACATCATGTGACATAAATATATGGATAGAGAAGGGACTCTGTTACTCACGTCTAGCGATGAGATCATCCACGGTCATTTTGTCTCCCATGGCTTCAGTCACCTGAATCTGAGCCGCCTCGAGTTGAGCCTTCAGCTCACATTTCCTGAGAATCCGTCCCTCAGTCGCACTGGACACCAGCAGAACCAGAGCCAACGCCGCCAACATCTTCACTGGGAGAACGCTCTTCATCTCTGATATCTGGAGGTTAAACACAGAGACAAGTGAAAGCAGAGATAAATGGGAATTTATTTTTAGTTATAGTTATATTAATTTGGTTGCATTGGTGTAATGCAAAGTAGCCCATTTAAATGGCTTATTATTTTAGTCTGATCATGCAAACAAACAAAAATTTTATTTTATTTTATATACACTTCATCAAGGATGTTTTGATTGATCAAAAGTGCAACTGTTTTCAACACTGGTAATAATCAGAAATGTTTCTTGAGCATCAAATCATCCTATTAGAACGATTTCTGAAGGACCATGTGACACTGAAGACTGGAGTAATGATGCTGAAAATTCAGCTTTGATCACAGGAATAAATTACATTTCAAAAATATATTAATATAGAAAACACTTATTTCAAATTGTAATAATATTTCACAAAATCACTGATTTTACTGTATTTTTGATTAAATAAATGCAGCCTCGGTGAGCAGAAGAGACTTCTTTCAAAAACATTCAAACATCTTACCAACCCCAAATTAACTATACTGTATATTTGACCATTGACCTGGTTCAATGACCAGCAAGGCATTCCCTACCAGTTTAATCACAGAACCTGCAATCAAACTGCTGGAGGAACCGTATTAAAATGACTCTTACCAGATTTTTTGTTATTGGATGTTTTGTTGTCTTCGGATGTTCCTCAGTCTTCACTGTCCTTCTGTACTGTGACCCATCAGACTTATATATGCTAGAGTCGTCTCCACCTCAGCTGCACCTGTGCTTTTGGTTCATCCCAACTTTAATAGTTTTAATTAATTTAACAATTAATCTTTTTTGGTCTGAATGTGTGTCAGGGGAAGATGGTCTCGCCCTGTTGAGTTTTTGGTTCCTCCCAAGGTTTCTCCATCCACCCAAACCAACCGTCTTGGGGAAGCACAGTTTTGTGCATCCTTGTTCCTATATAAATTTTTTTCATTTGGCTCGTGTTTGCTGTGATGTGACGTGCAGGTCATTTGAGTTTGTATCTTTCATATAATTTCCAGTAGCGATGGGCGATATATTATTGTTTGCGATATACCGGTAAAAATTAGTCTTACCGAATACCGAAGAATTAGTCTTCCCGCAATAATAACGATAAAGCCTTGTTGATGACGTATTTCTTTTTGGGACCCATTCGAAGCTCACGTGCAGCGAAAACAACTATGGCGGAAGGCGGAAGGCGGAAGTGAAGCTGAGGCGGAGTTTATCGCTAAATGAGGAACTGGTACATAGATATATTTTCACTCGCCGAACACTGACTGAGTTCTTGAGAGTTTCGCTCTCCGTCAAGCGATCCATAAAGTGCACTATTTCAGTTCATCCCAATGAACGCAAAGTGTTTTTGATGCACAGTAAACACTAGTGTGATGCGCCTGACTCACCGTCGCTTTGCTGAGAGCGCTCAGTGTTTCTCACACACTCAAAGAGACAACAAGAGAGTCTAATGACTCATTTCCACCGAGCGGACAGTACAGTACAGTACGGAACGCAATTATTTCCGTTTCCACTGTCAGAATGCCGAACTGTACCATACCACTTTTTCGGTACCCTTCCGACGGGGTACCTAGCATCTGTCTGCAGCCTGCAAGACTTTAAGTTACGCCCCTTCAAGTTACGCCCACTTAAAGTTACACCCACTTCAAGTTACGCCCCTTACCCACTTCAAGTTATGCCTCTTCAAGTTATGCCCCTTCAAATTACTCCCACTTCAAGTTACGCCCCTTCAAATTACACCCACTTCAAGTTACACCCCTTCAAGTTACGCTCACTTCAAGTTATGCCCCTTCAAGTTATGCCCCTTCAAATTACGCCCACTTCAAGTTACGCCCCTTCAAAGTACGTCCTCTTCAAGTTACACCCCTTCAAGTTACACCCACTTCAAGTTATGCCCCTTCAAGTTACGCCCACTTAAAGTTACGCCCCTTCAAGTTTCGCCCACTTCAAATTACGCCCACTTCAAGTTACACCCTTTCAAGTTACGTCCCTTCAAGTTACACCCACTTCAAGTTACGCCCACTTCAAGTTACACACCTTCAAGTTACACCCACTTCAAGTTACGCCCCTTCAAGTTACGCCCACTTCAAGTAACGCCCACTTAAAGTTTCGCCCACTTCAAATTACGCCCACTTCAAGTTACACCCCTTCAAGTTACGCCTCTTCAATTTACACCCACTTTAAGTTACACCCCTTCAAGTTACGCCCCTTCAAGTTACGCCCTTTCAAGTTACACCCACTTCAAGTTACACCACTTCAAGTTACGCCCCTTCAAGTTACACCCACTTCAAGTTACGCCCACTTCAAGTTATGCACCTTCAAGTTACACCCACTTCAAGTTACGCCACTTCAAGTTACGCACCTTCAAGTTACACCAACTTCAAGTTACGCCCAGTTCAAGTTACGCACCTTCAAGTTACACCCACTTCAAGTTACGCCCACTTCAAGTTACGCACCTTCAAGTTACACCCACTTCAAGTTACGCCCACTTCAAGTTACGCACCTTCAAGTTACACCCACTTCAAGTTACGCCACTTCAAGTTACGCACCTTCAAGTTACACCCACTTCAAGTTACGCCCACTTCAAGTTACACCCACATCAAGTTACACCCCTTCAAGTTACGCCCACTTCAAGTTACACCCACTTCAAGTTACGCCCCTTCAAGTTACGCCTCTTCAATTTACACCCACTTTAAGTTACACCCCTTCAAGTTACGCCCCTTCAAGTTACGCCCTTTCAAGTTACACCCACTTCAAGTTACGCCCACTTCAAGTTACACCACTTCAAGTTACGCCCCTTCAAGTTACACCCACTTCAAGTTACGCCCACTTCAAGTTATGCACCTTCAAGTTACACCCACTTCAAGTTACGCCACTTCAAGTTACGCACCTTCAAGTTACACCCACTTCAAGTTATGCCCAGTTCAAGTTACGCACCTTCAAGTTACACCCACTTCAAGTTACGCCCACTTCAAGTTACGCACCTTCAAGTTACACCCACTTCAAGTTACGCCCCTTCAAGTTACGCACCTTCAAGTTACACCCACTTCAAGTTACGCCACTTCAAGTTACGCACCTTCAAGTTACACCCACTTCAAGTTACGCCCACTTCAAGTTACACCCACATCAAGTTACACCCCTTCAAGTTACGCCCACTTCAAGTTACACCCACTTCAAGTTACGCCCCTTCAAGTTTCGCCCACTTCAAGTTACGCCTACTTAAAGTTACACCCACTTCGCCTCAGCATCACGTCCGCCATTTGGACATACTCTAATTACGCCCCCTTAAAGTTACACTCACTTCCTGTTACGCCCCTATCTTGCTGTCTGTAGACAGACCCATATCAGCACAGTGGTACGGTACCTAAAGGGTGGAGCTAGACACTGCAGAACATTGATTGGTTGACAGAGACAAACAGCCACATGCCGAGAAGCAAGAACGAGATCTGCTGTATGTCATCCATTGTTGTTTACTATGTCGCTTTCTTCTTCGCGCGAAAATGACGTCGATCGCTTCTTTTCGGCATAGGCTACACCACGTCTATCAAGTATGGTACTGTTTGCGGTGGAAACGCAAGCCGGATTAGGGTTTACCGTCCCGAATCGCACTGTAATGTACCGTACCGTAGCGCTCGGTGGAAACGAGCCATTACATACCACACAGAATTGACGTGCTACATGTAAATAGGGTTGAGAAACCGAAACCGGTGCCAATATGTAACCGGTACCTATGTAACCGGTATGTAACTGGACCGAATCAAAACATAGATTTCGGTACCACTTAAATGCCTGAGCTGTCGATTGAAATATTTGGCCTCTGGTTCTCCAAAAAGGACTTAAGAAGCACTATCACCGCACGTAATCGCTAGTTAACCCTTTGACGCGTACGATCGCTCACTGGTATGATTAGAACGTTCAGTGCATCGCGTGATCATCAACTGCTAAATTCAAACCTGCGTTCGCGCTTTGGCTTCCACTGAGCCAGAGACACAAGACCTTGTGAGCGACATGCAATAAGTCAGGAGAGATGTAATATTTTGCCTGAGAAGGCAAATGTGGTCATATTTCTGCAAAAGAATTACTTTAAAACTTTAATATATTGTTAAATTTTTTTTCAATAAAAAAGCTGTTCTTTAATGTCATTCACCATCATTTTGTGCCTCTTTTTTAATTTTTTTTTTATAAAGGTATCGGTTCAGGCACCTTTTAAAAGTATTGATTTGGCACCGGTAGTTAATTTGGAATTGTTCAGCCTTTATGAGCAAGCAGAAACTAATGTGCAAACGCAGGCGTGATTAATATTCATAAACCCAGCAGCTCATCCATCCTTAGTGCGGTTTATATTGTTCTTAGTAGTAGAATTCATAGTAGTAGTATTATCTTATCAGTATTATTGTTAGTTTTTTACATTTCAAATTTGTAATTGATTTGAATTATTATTGTGTGTAATTATTATTGTGTGATGTTTTTCAGTACAATTGCACTATTTAAACATTATCTGCACTTTTACAGAAGAAACGTATATCTGTTAGCTAACTTTTTAACTTTATAAATTTTCCATTTCTGCAAGGGCTGGTGTTTGGATTTTTTTTTTTTTTTAAATTCTTTTATGTAATTGGTATATTATAGGAGCCTATATGATGATGGGTACGTTTTACTTTAGATCAATGTTTGTGTTTCTGCAGCCATCACTTGTAGCCAAAACCAGTAGTGAATGGGGCTATATTTTTATATCGTCATTGATATCGTTATCGCAATATATACCAGAAAATATTATGATATAGTTTTAAGTCCATATCGGCCATCCCTAATTTCCAGCTGTGAGTGTGTCTGGAGCTGATGTTGCATGACTGCCACAGACATATAATCGAGGACAGAAGTCACTTTTTAAAGCTTTAAATCCTCACTGTCTTTTTCTTGGGTGTATCTGTTGGTGGCGTGATCCTGACGATTCCTTGTGAAGACTTAATGCTTTTGTGCAAAAGTGCTTTATGGGCAAGGCGTTGTCATCTAAAATAGCCGTTTCTAGAAACTCACAATGGCTTTAGTCAAGAAATTATTTCAAACAACCCAGATTAAGGATAATTTAGGACTTATTTAATTATCCGATGCAAATCAGACTTGTTCTTCAGCATTATCACAGTAAATGATTTGCAGCTTATGTTAGAGTGTCAAAGGCTCATGCAACTTGCAAATGTACCGGTATGTAGGAACAATGATGCTTTACTTGGAAAGAATGCCCAGTAGGGGTGTAACGGTACACAAAAATCACGGTTCGGTACGTACCTCGGTTTTAAAGTCACGGTTCGGTACGTTTTCGATACAGCAAAAAGTAAGAAATGCCAGAGAAATGTCCTATTTGTTAAAAGAAAAAATATTTTTTAAATAAGTGTGAGTTTTCCTACATCTTGAAACTTTCAGGTTTATAAATGGGTGTCATCTTTGAAGGATGAACAAATAATGTTTTGGTCATTACATTAAAAATAACATTTAAATATATGAAGAGTTCAGATGCAAAAGCCATTTGAAATTTTCTTCTAGAATGATCATTTTTATCAAGCTTGTATATTTAAGTTCAGTAATTTCACTTAAATGGCAATGAAGATTACCTATTAATTGTAATTTGAGTGAAATTACTGAACTTAAATATACAAGCTTCATAAAAATGATCATTCTAGAAGAAAATTTCAAATGGCACTTAGAGGCGTTTGCATCTGAACTCTTATATTTATATAATATTTGAGTTTTGAAGTGCTGGAAAAAGATGTGTGA